TTCGTCCATCTTCAAATAAACAGATCAGCTCCAGGTTGAGTGCAGGATGGTCAACCTCCTGGAGCGAGCACAGAGAGTTTGGTTTGGACATGAGCTCAAAGAAAAAGCTTCTGAAACAAATGTATTTCGTCTCTAATGTTAGAGAAGAAATATGGAGCAGCGCAGAGGTCAGTGCGCGATCGTCCTCTGAGATGATCGAACAAAAGTGTAATAATGAACTTTACCACCTCAATGCAGCAGGTAGAAACTGATGTTCACCAGGAAACTACAGCACAGTGCGACCTTCAAAGATCCCATGACAGAAAACACCAGACACGGAGAGCAAAGCTCTCCCTTCGCACCAGCACCACGACACACACTTCAAAATGAACTTAAACCAGACGCATCGTTTCTTCGCGCTTCCTTCAAACCTGAACTTGAACACTCAGCCAGTCTGAGCGTGCTCAAAGTGTGGGGCTCGGCGGTGGTTTGGTGCTCCATTCGCCCCTAGCAGAGGTGCGCCTCATAGCACTTCTGCAGAAAGCAGCTTTGAGCTCTGAGCCAAGTTCTCTGTTATTCTTTCACAATCACACTAAATAATCGCGCTCAGGATTTCAGAGCCATGTTCAACAAAACGCAGACGCCTTCGTGTTTGCACTGAAGCACACATCCTCCTGACCTTCCTTCAGCTTCCTGAGGCAGGAAAACGCCAAGGCAGGAAGATGGCCTATGACTGGACTGAGAGAGAAACACAGACCCAGCAGGACCTGCTCCCAGCACCCACGGAGCCCAGGAGGAGCGAGTAAGACCAATAATGGCGCCCAAACCTGCAGTGCATGTGGACGGGACCCCCGTGTTCACACATGATTACATGAACAAATATTCTTATTCAACTCCACTGTTTTTAATGTTAATAAAGAAACACTAAACTTTATTTCCTGAGTAAATCTGAACAGCTGAGCTTAAATGTATGTAACTCTAACACGCATGTGCACGCGCGCACACACACACCGAGGTGTGAGGAGTGAATCAATAAGTCATTTCCTGAGTCTTTGTTCCGCAGATCAGAGTCCACGCGTGTGTGTACACACACACACACACACACACACACACACACACACACACACACAGTGCGGTGTCTAAATTGTGGTTTGCGGCCCTGCGGTTGAAACAAAGCCGAATGTACATTTCTGAGCCGGTCTTGGCTCTCACCCCCCCTCAGGAGGTCTCCTGCAGGAGGTCCGGTTCTGCAGAGCCTCCTTCAGAGGAGGCCGTTGGTTTTGTGGCCCTGCAGATGCCGGAGGGGCGGTGCATACTCTCTGATAAATACACCAGTGACACGTGTAAAGCCGCCACAGGCGCGTGCGGCTCCCGCCACCCCGCGGCAGCGCGGACAGGAGAGAGGGCGCCGCTCGGGGCTCGCGCGGCGGCCGGACTCACCCAAACTGCCGGCGAAGCCGTCCATTTTCCGGGAGAAAAAGCGGGAGTGGGGCCGGAGGCCTGCGGGAGGCTCCGCGCACACTGCGGGCCTCCGTCCGGGTTTTCACCGCCGAGACGAGCCGAGCCGCGTCTGTCCCCGCCGAGCCGCCTGCCGGATCTGCCGGTCCACAGGCCGAAGATCCCCCGCTATGCTGCGGGCCGAAGGAGCAGAAGTGGCCGAGAGAGGAGCGAGATGAGCCGCGGAGCTGCAGACGGACGGACCGACGAGCATGCGCGTTTCCGACTCCGCCTGCTCTGGCAGCGCGCGCTTCGCCTGGAAGAGCGGGGGGTGGAGGGGAGCAGGAGCCTGAGGAGGCTCGGGTTTCAGAGCCACTGCTTCCTGTTCAGGTGCTGCAGCGCCGTCCAGCGGGCTCACCGCGCCATCACATGCCCGCGCAGGAGTCCGTGCCAGAGTGCTCTTGAGCACCTGTGAGTGACACACACGACCCAAGTACAAGGGCTCTGACGTCACACAGGAGGTAATCAATAAAACGTCTCTGGAGCGCCTTACATAGTTTCAGACAATGAGTGAGCCTCCCAGGTAAGGGGGCGGAGTAAAGACTCCGCTTCCTCCAACAGCAGCGATGATGATCTCCAGCATTCATCTCGGAGATGTCGCGGGTCAGAACCACGTGACTGACTCACATCCTGTTTATGTGAAACACATTAAAGAAATCAGCTGTGATCAGGTGGCTGCAGAGGCTCCGTGTTCATGCAGAGGAGCCCGTGTCAGCGCTGACCGTGACGTTTATCTTTAAAACATATTTCAAGTTGTTCAATTCCAATGAACAGCTTGAAATGGTAAAATGCTGAGTGGTGAACTGACAGAGGTTAAAAAAGGTAAGGTTATCCAAAACTGGAAAATAATGTACTTTTCTGGATTACTTCCCCCTCTGTCTGCATTAAAGCAGTGTTGGAACACCATACCATACCCTTGTGAGCATCAGCTGGACGGTATTGTAGTGCAGAAAGTAGTGTGTTGCTACAGAAATAACAAGAAAAAGGTGATTAACGATGGAAGACAACAGACCATCATAAAAATGTAGGTCTGTCCGACAGAGAAATTGCAAAGAAAGTCAAGGTGTCAGTGAGCACGGTTTCCTTCGCACTCAGAAACAAACTGACAGGAAGAGGTCTATGGGCTCAAAATGTGGTCATAAATATTTTGTACTTGTAAAAAAGATTTGTATGTGTAAAAAAGATTTGTGTGGACTTAGCCAAACAAAAGTATGAATTTTGACCCGATTTTACTTCCTTTCATCTGATTGGTCAATGTCATGTCAATCACAAATGTAACAATCCAATCAGAGAACAGATGGGTTTGGCTGTCGGAGGGGCGCTTTTTTGAACTGCAGGTCCTTGAAGGGTGATACAGTTTGGAGGATCGCTATATAAATATCCGATAGCAGCTAGGTCCCCTAACTTTCAGCAGCTGTTGAAAGGAAAAAGTTGTGGTATATCAGTGGTTAGAAATACCATTATTACTTTAGGATTAGTTTAACACAACGTCAGGGCTGACCCAGGACCATTGCTGTGAGTCACAGTGCGCAGCATAAAGGTCCTTTCACATCGAACGCAGGATGTGCTGCTAATGCTAACTGCTAACTAAAAGCTAAGGATCCAGAATTTGTTACGCTGGCTGCTGGGCTCTGTGGGTTTTTGCAGCAGCTCTACCTGTACTAGATGCACCTGCTCCTTGTCTTTTCTATCTCTGACTTCATGTCCTCTACAAGAGTTTGGGTTTTTTTGCTGGTTCTTCTAATGTTCAATAAAAACATGTATGCTAATTCATAACGAAGAAACCTTTGTAATGAAGACTGTCATTTCCAAAACACTGCCCGCCCCCACCCCGCGGTCCGCAGCGCTGTTGAAAAGGCTGTGGAAGGCCCTGTATTAAACACGTAGACCTGTGACACAAAAATCACCAAACTCGGACGACCACAGACTGTTTTCCTTAGTGGTGATGAAGGAAAACGCTGGGTTGGCATGTAAAAGGGCATTTATTCCCTTCAAAGACCTGCAGTTCAAAAAAAGCGCCCCTCGACAGCCAAACCCATCTGTTCTCTGATTGGATTGTTACATTTGTGATTGACATGACATTGACCAATCAGATGAAAGGAAGAAAAATCGGGTCAAAATTCATACTTTTTTTTTTGGCTAAGTCCACACAAATCTTTTTTACGCACACACAAATTCTTTTTACACATACAAATCTTTTTTACAAGTACAAAATATTTATGACCACATTTTGAGCCCATAGAGTTCTAGCAGACCCAGAGACACAACTGAAACACAGGCCAAGTTTCGGAGCGTTAACAGCTTGATAGGCGGCTCACAGGACAACATGAAGAAGTTATTATGGAGGAATCAACATTTGAACTCTTTGGTTCTTCACACAGGATCTTTGTACGCCGTGGAGAAGATGAAAAGACGGTTCCACAGTGTGTGGCATCGACTGTCAAACATGGAGGAGGAAGTGTGATGGTCTCGGGCTGTTTGCTGATCCAGGGTCAGTGACTACCACGGCATTCTGCAGTGCCATGCAGTACCCTCTGGTATGCACCTAGTTGGTCAGGGGTTCATCCTACAGCATAATGACCTAAAACACAAGACCAGGCTGTGCCAAAACTACCTCAGGAAAAAAGAACAAGATGGTGAGCTTGTAAACATGGAGTGTCCAGCACAGTCTCCAGACTTAAACCCCATCAAGCTGGTTTGGGATGAACTGGTCATCCCAAACTGCTGTCATGATTTCCCCAGCTTAAAAACAGAATAGAATACAACAGGCCTTTGTCATCGTTCACGTACAATGCAATCCTAATTTTACATGTGAAATCTAAGCCTAACCCTTATGTTTGAGACAAAACGTACGGAAACACAAACTAAAGATCTAAACACACTCAGCCTGCTGATGGGCCTGATATTAGTTACCTATAGCATAAATCATCTGGATAAAAATGATTAAACACAGATTATAATAAGAGATGATTGATCAGTGTGTAAGATGCAGTGACGTCATCACTGTACACAGAGTGAAGATGGAGGCTACAGATTTGATCCTGATCTGTGACATCATCACTGCCTCCATCCTGATATATTGACGACTGAATGACTGTAAACAAAGCAGCAAACTAACATCAGTCTGGGATTTAGCTTTTCTACAAACATGAACACCTGCAGATTACTTCTCTCCTCTGAGCTTTGACAGATTTTACTTTATGAGTCAGAGTATCAGTCACTTGGTTCAGGTGCAGCAGGAGGGGAGGGTCAGAGAATCTGTTACCATGGCAACTGACTCAGTTGGCTTTAATGGTCTTTCTGGAACAGAAAACTAGTTTTCCTCATCTCGGGGTTAACAAACTCAGATTTTATTGGTTTTACTTTAAGGAACCAGTCAGTCACAGATATGTTGTAAATTCCTGTCTTACAGATTCATCCAATTTGTGACCTTTTACTCAATTAGCCGGGGTTTTTTTTTTTTTATCAAATCAATCAGTTTTGTCTTGTGGAAACTTGGCAATCAATAACTGATCAGGACAAAATAAACAAAACAAATTTTTATTCTGGCAAATACAAAAAGGTAAAAATTCACTTTATTAGACACTACTTCAGAATAAATGCCTTTAAACAGGAAACAAAAGTAGGAAGTTTCAACAATAAAAGTCCTGAAATCTTTATTTCAACAAAACTTTATGTATTCAAAACTTGTTAACAGCAGTCCAGTGTTACTAACGGCTGACTTAATCACACGATCACCTTTACAGGAACAGTTTGAATTTAAGGCTTCTTCTTTTGTGGTACTACCCAGGTTTGTCTTCAGCCTTCTGTGATGACATCACATTTGATGTCACAGACCGGAAGTTGTTTATTCAGAAAATTATCAGCCGATTGATGGAGGTTAAGTACTGGTGATCCTCGGACCGCCCGCAGAGAACCTGAACTCTGTTCTAGGAAGCACTAAGCGGTAAAGTCGGTAGGTCAAAGGTCACATTGGTTTCTAAACATTCATCGAAGCAGCCTAGGGTGGAACTTCGTCACATGACCCCGAACAAGCAAAAAAACAAAACAAAATACACAAACAGAAAGTGGCTTCCGTGCTGTTGTACGTTCCCAGTTTACAACAGAATGCCTTGTTTCAGTTACGATGGCAATGACATCAGAGGAGGAAGAGGAAGAAGAAGGCACATCTGAAGAAAGTTGGTCCTGTAACACCTGGTGTAAGCTCCCCGCCCTCCCCTTGCAGGCTTCAGTAGCTGAATTTAACCTTCTCGATGTCGGCGATCAGATTCCTGGCCAGGTAGATCCCCACCATCTGCTCAGAGACACATCAGCCAGTAAGTACTCAGGCAGACAGGTACACAGATAGCACTACTTCAAAGTACCACCAGAGTTCAGATGAGCTGATGAAAGTGCAAGTTGTGCAGGTGAGTTTATAACAGATTATAAACACAGGTGTTGTAAATAAATACACCTGATGAGGAGTGAATCTAACAGAGTGAGCAGGTGAGAGCAGAGACGGCTGAGTGGACTCTGTGGGATCGTTTAGCTGTGACAGCAGAGGTGGGCTCAGGTCATTACAAGCACCTAACACACACACCTGACAGCTGGAACCACTGGAGAAGCCACATTTCCACCTGTTCTTCTTCTTCTTTATCTAAATACCTGCAGGTAGAATCGCACTCGCCTGACCACGACTTTCTAAAGTCCAAAAGTCCTGAGTTAACTGAGAGAACAATTTCAGCTTTTAGACCAACACGAGCTTGTTCTGAATTTGATGGAAGCCACACATCTTTAAAAAGTTCTAAAGAGAAACAGCTGGAGGAACATTTAACAGATAAACATGATCATTTTCAGCAGGTGGGTCACATGATCGGGTATATCAATCAATCAAAATTTATTTATATAGCACATTTTTAAAGACCGAAGTACACCAAAGTGCTTTCCAGTAAAATCATGATACAGATAAAAAAAAATCACAATATAAAATATAAATTACAGATATAAATAAAATATAAAATAATTACATAATCTAAATGCAAAGTCAGATGTAAATTACCCTAATTCGCCTTGAATGCCAGGTTAAACAAATACGTTTTTAAACGTGATTTAAAAGACTGAATGGAATCTGATGCGCGAATATGAAGAGGGAGAGTATTCCATAACCTGGGTGCAGCAACGGCAAAGGCACGGTCTCCTCTGGTCTTCAGCCGAGACCTAGGTTGCACTAAGAGCAGTTGGCCCGATGATCTTAGTGCTCTCTGAGGGCTATACAGACAGAGGAGATCAGCTAGGTAGTCAGGTGCCATATTGTTTAGAATTTTATAAGTAAACAATAAAATTTTAAAATCAATTTAGTATTTAATAGGAAGCCAGTGTAAATTTGCCAGAACAGGGGTGATAGAATCGTACTTTCTAGTGCCGGTCAAGAGACGTGCTGCGGCATTTTGGA